TAAAGTAGGTGTCTAATACAGTGTCATCCAAACGGAGATTTACTCCACCTATTTCTTTGCACTGATGACAGGAGAGCTAACAACTCATTTAGCCTAGGCCATGATCGGAGCTTTTAGAGATTAAAGTCAGGTAAGATAGATTTTATACTAATACTTGCTGCTGCAGGAACAGTGTGCACAGAGGAAAAATCTCCTTACAATTCATCCAGTTTGTACCAAAATAATCATGCTCAGAATTGAGGGATATAAGCCAAATGCCAAATAATCCAAGACACCTTTTTCTTTGTATGTATTTACTATTAAAAGACGTGTATAATATGTCCAATTAATTTTTCTTTTGCTTTAGGTAGTAACTTTCATTAATTGATGTGATGTATGTAGCTAGGACAAAACCAAGTATCGGAGACTGAGAATTTCACAAGAGTACTTGGAAATTTCTTCATGCCGATGTGAGAATCATGCCTCTGAAATTCAGAAATACTGATATAACCTCAGTTTGGAGTGTTGACTTAAGGAGTTACAGGGAGGTATAACCTCTAAATGCTCTCTGAGCTGAACTCTAAATGGTTTATACTGAAAGGAATAAATTGCTTCTTGAAAGTGATGTATTACTCATTGAGAAAGATTGTGGTATATTGCTTTCTCAACTCTATTTTTCTCCTGTTTACTCCCATCTGTTACCCCTTGGATGGAGTTCATCACCTGCTGAAATACATATAAAAAGTAAGCCACATTTCCACATAAAACTGCAGTTCCTACTGACCAAATTGCCTAGTACAGCATCAGTATAGTTATCCTGAGTATGAGTTACCTGCCAATGGATAAATTAAACCAATTAGTGAGAAGTAAATTATTCAGTAAATGTCTTAGTGAATGAATATGAACTGAACCTAGTGGGTGACCTGTGGAAGGTAAAGTATTGTAGGAACTACACCAGCTAATGAAACATACTCATTAGGGTACAAAGTAAGCTGCCTGTCAGTTTTATATATTTTTGCCTGTCCCAAAAGTACATAAATGGCATTAGGTAGATCTAGGAAGTTTTGAAGAATGTACATAATGTTCCAGTACTGATATCCATTAGTAACTATTTCCTCTGTATTGTCTGAGCATTGTGAAAAATTCTTTAGGACCTATTGGTCCTGAAAAAATTGTACAGCCTAAACCATATGGCCATGAATACCCGTAGTGCAGAAACTGAAGGTATTTATTCAAAGCAACATGCTCATATCATTTTGAAGATTATGTTTAATGTTCAGTTAGTTATCTAGGTTAAAAATGTTCAGCAATGGAACACATGACTGACTTCTTCCTTGATGTCACTCTACCAGGTATAAAGAAAATCTGAAAGAGTAAAAGATTGTGGAGAGCTATTTTGTTTCAAGTAACTTTGTTTGTACTTATGTGTATTTACATACATCTGAGTAAATGTTTTTACTTACCTAAGTAAGTAAATATTTTTACTTATGAATCTCAGGAACACTAATCTTCTTAATATTGTTTGAAGGTTTTCTGGTGGTCTCAGGTTTGTATGAGTTCTTGCAGCCTTGATCAGGAAGCCCAAGAGTTGGTGCCACAACAAAAGACATGCTTCCTCCTGGGAATTTCTCCTGGTGATACTAATTTCTCTCAGCTGACTGTAGGAAAAGGCTAGATAACTAACTTGGTCTGGATGCCTAATTTTATATAGCACTATGGCATGTGTAAAATGGCATATATATTGTGTAGAATTCTTTGATTAATTTCAAATTTAATCCCGAAGAGACTTTGCTCTTTGTTATGCTACAACATCTTGAAACCAAACCAGACCTCCCCACCTACTGGTGTAAATAGTGGGAAGACTTCAGCCAAGATATTTTCTATATAAATTCAAATGTAGACAGAGGCATACCCCTAATGAAATATCATGTCATGAAAGTTGGTCTATTTTCAAGTAAAATAATAGCAATAGCAATGATTTACTTTAGGATAACGTCTTGAGATCCTGAATGAGGGCAGGGACACATGTAACTTGTATACATATGTTGTCCATACATGCAGTAAAAAGATTTTCCTTGCCAAAACCTATAGGAATAATTCAACAGAATTATTTATTTTTAACAGTTCATGCCAGAATGTAAACTGTTCAAATAACTACAGAATCCAAATGGGAAAACTTTGGGAAGCTAAAATGGCTTTTCTATTGTTGGACAAACATAAATCTAAAATTATTAAGTAAAGGGAAGCAATAGCTCTTGGTTTGCTTATTCCCATGATGTCATTTTCAACATAGGTGTGGTTAAAATATCTCTTTTATATTTATTTCATTCGTTTCTACAAGATTATTACATGGAAGCTCTTTGCTTTTAGTTAGGATTGCAACTAGGAACATTTCACTATAAAGCCTTATTTTTTCTCTGTTCAATTGTGAAAAACTAGTTTTGTCTGAAAATGTCCATTATTTATATATATTATATTTTATAATATATATAAATATAGATTATATATTTATATAATATATATTACATTATATTATAACTATTATTTATAATTACCAAATATGTTTCTACAGTCTGAAGAAAATCGGTCATGATCTTCTTTTAAGTTTGGCTTTATAAGAGATTTACTAATTTTAATAAAAATTGAGTTGTTACTCCTAACAGAAACTTTCTGTGATTCAAATGTCAAAAACTTATTTCCATATTTTTTAAAATAAACATATAATGAAATAGTTCTATTAGTTGCTTTTGCTGCATAATACATATTATAGGGCATCTATTGAATTATGATTTCTGGAAGTCGTGGGTCTGATACGATTGTCTGTGCTGTCCTGTGGAATTTCAGTGCAAAGAGCACTGAGCCATGCTGATATCTCACCTTGTATAGGCACTGATGGCTGTGAAGCATTGGCATCAATCATTGTTGTAAATGATGATTCAGCTGCATTTTGCACTCATATAGTGCTTAATTTGCAGATGTATAAATGATCGTACAGCACAGTGATAAACTGAATCTGTAAGTGTTCTTTTCCGTATTTTTCACATGGAACAGCCCTTGTATAACACTAATAAATTAAATGTCTAGTTAGGAAAAGAATCCGCTTTTGTATTCCACCACACATCTCTCACTGTCAAATAAAATAAGGCTTGTACAGGCATTGCAAGTTTGATTTGTGGACAGGACTTTGTACCTGTTTGCTGCATAAAGCAGCAGTCGTACTCAAAGACATGGGTGTTAATGCATGGGGAAGTGAGGGCACAGGTACCGGGTGCATAGATTCATGTTCCATGCATAGCTGTAGTGCTAACATTGTCTCATTTTGCAATCTCAGTGGAATTTATATGTGATTTTATTTGGTTGTAATTTTCTTAATTAAGTCAAGTACACAGAAAAAAACTAGAAATTTCCCTCCACCTTGGTCATAAATAAAGTGGGACCAGGAGATGGATGACACAAACCACTAGCATTTGAAACTATCTGAATAACTGATAAAAATAGGTTCCTGTAAATCTGGGATGAATAAAATAAGACTGTAAATTCATGGAAAGTAAGAACACCCGATTAAAGATTGCCAGTGACTTAAAGATGTTGAATGCTGGAGAACTCATGATGTTCCTAGGTATTTTTACAGTGATTGATTATTGCCACTGGTAAAATGGGTTCCTCATATCCAGTGGGAATCGATACAGTTTCTCACAGGTGCTCCTAGCTGTGCTCCTGTCTGATAGAAGGAAGTGCCAGCTACTACCAGAATTTTTATCTGCAGATGGGTACTTGCAGACTGTGATCAAATCACCTCTTAACCTCATTGACAAAAAAAATATATTGACCTTGTTGCATCTCTTGTGTAATCTGCATGGGTAGAATTACAACCATTTCTTTTTCAATTTTTGCAGTAGGTTTTTGGAATATTGACAGAAGTAGCAGCTTCATAAGTAATTGGTCCTTACTCCTACTTGTAATTCCATTTATCATACATCCAAAAGGCTGTAGCAACACCCTACTCTGATGACTCCTATTTAGCTGATTATCCGTGAGGCCCTCTGCACTTTTTCCAAGTTCACTGATTTCCTGAATGCAATTTTTCATCTTGTGTGTGACCTACATTTATTTCATTGCATTTGGCCATGTTGGAATATAAGTAAGTCTGCTTTAATGGTGTGACTGACTTTGTTCTTTATAATTTATACTCATTACTGGTTACTGTTCTACCATTTTTTTGCCATCCATAATTTTCTTCAGCAAAAAGTTTGTATTTTCTTCCACATTTCTCATAAAGATACTGAATAGCATTGAAAGAATAGCAAGCCCACTTGGAATGACACTGAAAATACCCATGTTGAATACTGATTGTCTATCCAAGTTTTCAGATCTCCCAGTTTTTAATTATTTTATATTTTTAATACCTTTGTTCTGTTCTTCTATGACTGTCACTGGGTAGTCCTCAACTAGTACAAATCTTCATGTATTTATTAGGAGGCTAGTTAATTATGGATACCATTTGTTGGTGTAAATATCAGATGGGACTGTCCTTGTAACCTGTTCAGCTGCATCCTGAAGCAGCCATCCCTATTTTATTCCTCTCCTTTTTTAAAATCAATGTTTTCTCTGGTTTAATGTATTTCCTGTCTTAAAATGACCAAAGATGATACTGCTGTCAGTTGTTCAGTTTTACTTTAATGTCATATACAAAATATCCATTCTACATTGCAACTTAATATATTTTATATAAAATCCAATGTACAGTATCTTAAATTTGTTTAAATAGTATTATAAACATAGCTTTCAGGAGGAGCCAGTCCTGGAGTGATGCAGTCTTTTGTTAATTACAATTCCTTTTGATATCCCTGCTGTTCGGTAAAAAATCCAGCTTAGATTCTGGACAGATCTGTATAACCTTAGATTTGGTTCCTATCAAAGCAAAAATAAACGCCCAGATTATTTTTTTCAACTTTCTGTCCCCACCAGGTAACATCCTGTGCTGGGGTGTCCTGTTTAAATGTCATTTGGCATCATCTGCTTCAGAGCTCATCTTCATCCGATAAAGCGTCAAGGTAATCCGTATCAACGTATAAGAGAAATCCAGAAAACAAACTATCTGCCCACGTTGGATCAGAAAAGAGACCGTTTTGGTCAGTGTAGAAGATCTCAAGCCATACTTCATCTTCTGGCTGAAGGTAGATCACTGTGGATCCAGAAGCTACATCGTGGTTGCCTGTGTTTGCATCAAATGTCTTTATCCGGTACTTCCCATTGTGAACCAGCCCAATTGCAAGATGCTTGTTTGCTAAGGTGATATCATAAGAAAAATAATAAATCCCTGGGATGGCACAAATAAACTTCCCTGTGGAAGGGTTGTAATGCTCCCCCTCATTGAAGAGGACTTTATTGAATACAATTGGTAATCTTTCCTTTGGGTAGCTGGTGGTGATGCCAACAGAAAAGGCAGATTTCAGCACTATCTTTCCACACTTACAGACCCCTGGTGCACCTGGCTCTCCTCGGTCTCCTTTATCTCCCTTAGGTCCAGGTGGTCCAGCTGGACCTACTTCACCTTTGGCACCAGTCAATCCTCCAGGTCCTTTTTTACCAGACTGACCTTGGTCTCCTTTCTCTCCAGCTGGTCCTAATGGCCCAGTCTTTCCTCTTAAACCTTCAAAAACATTTTTAGTTAGTTAATCGTTGCACATATCATCTCAGTAAATGATTGTGTGGGCTATTGTGTGTGCCTGAACAAACAAGAAAAACACGGTCAGAATTTCAAAATACTCCAGAAATACTTTCAAAATCTTCTAGTAAGATTGTGAAAGGAATGGTAGCTTGGAACAGAGGACCGGGCTCCACAGCCCGGGGTCCTTTGTTTCTATATTCCTACTTTCCTTCATATGTCTTGATTATGCGTTGAAGAATTTTATGTGTAATCAGTCCATTGCTGACTGAACTATGGGCACTGCTGATGGGAAGGACAGCAGCATGGCTACCTGTATAATGACACCTGTGCACTAAGTATCTCCTGTTATTTGAGCATTTTTAGTGTGTACCTAAATACCTGCTCATCTTTTATTCCTGGCTAATGGCACAAATGAGACCATTTATTTCACACCATGCATGGTTCATTTCTCCCCAACCTTTTCTTAGCATCTGTGTGCAGGAAGGCTATGCATTTACAGTTATCTACACAGATTTCAATATATGCATATTAGCCATATCTAAAAGATATCAGCATATTTTTTCTCTTACTATATATATATGCATCACACACAAACCCACACAGGCACATACACACATTCATTGTGTGTATATATATATCGTATGTATGTATGTATGTATGTATAACAGTGACGATGAAAGGTCTTACTTTGTTGTACTACTGTGTTAGGTGACATAAATATTCAATACCTGCACTCCCCTTTTCACCTTTTTCTCCCTTCCTGCCATCTCTACCATCTCTTCCTGGAAGACCAATGCGTCCGTGTGGCCCTGGGGTTCCGCCGGCTCCGGGGGGACCTGCAGGGCCTGGCAAACCAGGGATGCTACAGATGTATCTGGTGTAGTAATTTTCTCCTTTGAACTGACTTTGAAGAGGTTGTTCGCTTGTGTAGATGGCAAAGCTTGTAATGTAAAGCAACACAAACATCCTTGGATCTGGAAAAAATACATACAGATAAGACTATGCATATTATAGCACTCTAGTCACATGGAGATGGCTCTGGATATGCTAATAAGTGTGACACTGTGGTGCATTATGTACAGGTACACGTGCAGAGATCAGCCTGGGATTTCTGCATTACCAGAATCCATGTAGGAGGCAAGGGGGAAAGTCTGTCCTTTTTATGGTCACCGTATACATTACTGTATGTCTTCCAAGTAGCCTGTAGACTGACATAGTGTAACTAGTGAATATTAGCTTTTTTGGACCAAATTTTGACATGTTAAAAAAAGAATCTGGATTTTTCAATGAAAAGTCCCTTGCTTGCATAGTTTATTTTGTCTTTGGGATCTGTATAAGCTGTATGGAGAAAAGCCCTCTTGCTGGAGGGAGTTATATCTGTGCTAGGAGGGTGTGCCCGTAGGAGCAGTCTCTTCTAGTGAGGACAAAGCTTACACCTTCATTTAATTTTGAAATCTGCCCTTATGTTTACAAATTAATCTCTAACCTGAATAGCCGCAGCAGAAACTTGCTGAGCTTGCAGAAAGGATACCAGTAAGAGAGCTAGGGCTTCAGCGCCTGGCTGGAAACCCTGATGACCACAGCACAAATAACCATTTCACACTAATCAGTCGGGTTGAATCAGGCAGCTGCCCTGTGGGGAACAGATGGAGTGAGAATGGGCTGCTAACAGGTTGGGGTTTTTTAAGCCTGGCTTGGACTGTCATATGAAACTAAATGTGTTGCAATATCTTGCAAGAAAATTGTTTAAAGCTTGATATATAGTATTTGGGTGTTTTCGTAAATGATTGAATGTAAATTGTATTTGTTCCACTATATACTGGGAGACTAAAGAAAAACCACTGTACAAACAGTAACATGCTGGGGAGTTGCAGTACCTGATGTACAAAGGTGTCTTAAATTAGAGTTGCATTAGCAGAGAGTCAGTCATGGGTCAGGTGAGATTTTGCAAGTCAAGCTCTTTTTTCTAGTTCCCTTGATGGCTTCTCAGAAGACCGGTGTGGGGTGTTTTGTTGGAGTTGTCCATTCCTTCAGAGCTCATTTACAGCATTCAAGGAAATCAGAGTCCACTGGTTTCTGTGGGGAGAAAAAGAAGAAATGGAGTGGGGGATTCTGAAAAAATCTGTGGGAATACCTTTTTTTACAGGGAAACTCAGATTCATTCTCCACCTCAGAGTTAAAGAAACTGCAAAGGGAATTAATCTAGAAATCATTGTTCCCATTCCCTTCTCTGTGATACTGATTGGCACTGACTGATGTAAAACCCCAAACCGTTACATTTGTATGCAGTTCGTGGTATTTCAACTGGTATATGGCATGGTCAAATCTATTCAGCAGGGAAAAGACCCACATATACATATACACATACACATAACACATACACATACACAGTCTTTACGAAGAATCTTTTCTGTTCTACAGAATAGAAAATTAGAAACTGTCTTGGTATCAATTGCAATGCAAAAAACCCCATGAAAATATTGTAGTTGGAGAGAAATAAGCAATGCTCAAAAATTCTTTTCAGTGTTGTATATTCTTCTTTTCATATTAAGCATCTTGTCTCAAATTGGCAGAAACTGAACTATTAATTTTGCTGTCATTTGGTAAAGCCTTACAGTACAGCCAGGCACAACAGCCTCCAAGAGAGGATTAACATATGAATGCTTCACATTACAGCAGAGCAGCTAATGGTGACTCCAAGGCAGTAGTTAGCTACAAGCACAAACTGCACAGCTATGTTTGCTCTGAGGTACTACTGAGTGTACCCAAATAAAGCTCGAGGATTTTCATAGGACTTAAATCAGGGATAACAAAGCTCTCTGCAGAGGAGAACAACTTTAAGCTTGGAGGGAGCTCATGCCTAAGGCTGCATATGCATTTTATGCAATGCTGATGGATAAGAAGCAGACACGGCCTAAGGATCAAGGACTGGAACAAAAACTGCCCTTTGCCAGATGAAAGTCTGAATCAGTAGGCTAGATGTTCCCACACTGCATTGCACGTAAGCCAAGCAAAACCAACCTCAACAACTGCTGATTTTGCCTATGTCCAGGATCTTTTACAAATCAGAGTAAGAGCCTTCACACAGCTGCTCCTGTCACTGGCTGGCCAGTAACTTATTGATGCGTGAAGCTGTCTCCAGCTCCCAGACCTCCCCTGCTGTTCTTCTCATGTGCCTACAGGAAATTAATTAGTCTGGGACATGTGTTTCTGCTGAGGCCATGGGAAAAAAGTCATTAGGGGAAGGTGAGGGGAACGGGGTTGTTGAGATAGGGATGTGCCTTAGATGGCTGGGGCATTGTGATTGGTGATAGCGATTTGGGAAGGAGAAGGCATAGAGGGGAACATGGATTGGGGTCGTAATCAGCTAGGGGTTGGGGGTCGTAAGGAGTGATGGAGCTGTGAAGGAGAATGGTGGGACTGCAGGAAGGGGAGCAGAGCTGGGACTGGGAGGAAATGGTGATCATGTTCAGATGATGATGTTTACAGTCCTGAATTTAGGCTTGGGTCAATACAGAGGGCTTCCGACAGTGGTACCCAACAAATGACATTTGGGAACCATGCATTAGGCCACAGAATCAGGACTTCTCTTGCCCTTTGACTTCAGACTCTTGCATATGTTCCTGCACATCTTTCTGTGTCCAGGAGGGCTGCAAGGTGCCTCTCTTTCCAGCAGTCTCTTGGCAAGTGTGAATCTTCTCAGACCGAGGAAGGATGTACAGCATTGAACCCATGCCCTGTTTACTGGTGAGTGCTCTAAAAGGTAAATTGTCATGTTAAAGGTGAATGAGAACATATGGCCATGCTTTTGAAATTTCAGGCTGAATTAGGAGGCCAAAATCAGAGGTTTCAGTTCACCTGGGCTTTTGAAGCTAGAAGGTGGAATAGACATCCCACTTTCTCAGGAGTCACCTATGTTGCACTGAAGTACTTGATCACAGAGAGTTACCTGGTAGGCTGAAAGTGAGTCATAAATTAAACTTTGGTCCTGGCTTCTGGTTGTCCTTTTCAAAGATACAAACTTTTGTCCGTAAACTGGGGTAGGAAACAATGTCATTTATAGATGCAAAATAATTTTTCTTCAGGCAAAGACAACATTTGAGGAATTCATTCTTTTTTCCAAATACTGAAAGCCAAAACAAGCACATGGTATTCTTGTTCACCACAATAACAATCATCTTCATCAAAGCATTCACCAAAAAAAATAATGAGAATGATAGGAACACAGGATTAGGATTTTATTCCAAGTTTAGAAAATGGCATTTCAATAGGTTCCAGATCCACTAAGCAGAGCAAGAGTGCACGCCAAGGCGTTCACTGGAAGGTGATGGGTGTGCTGATCCGTTCTAATGCGTGGTGATTTCTGGAACAGCTTTTCTAAGCGAAGGTGGCAGATTCGTTTGTTCTGTCACCATTCAGATTGCACAAGCAGCATAATCGCTGGTGCCTTCCAACCCAAACTGTTCTATGATTCTATGATCTGCCTTGAGAAGACACTCTGTATGTTACATTCTCACTGAAGCTAGGTGCTGGGCAGAGCATCTTTAACATCAAGCCTTTAGGAAATCCCACTTCATTAATAATGTTCTCAGTCTATGTCATTAACATTTTTTTAATCTTAGGAATTAAGAGATTGTAGCAAATTCCCAGTTTTGAGACTTCCTGGTATATGATCTAATCTTCCTCCCTTGTCCAGCTATGCAGGTGTTAATTCTAAAATGTACTAATTGGCATTGTTTTGAAATAATCCTAGAAGATTTCCTATGAATCTGTTATAAATAACAGCTGGGTCAAAAGCCAGCAGTTATTAGTCACAAGTTATCCTGGCTGTGTTCTTACTTTTGCCTTTCCTTGCTAGCTTTGAATTCACTTCCAGTACACATGCACAACTATTTGAGGAGGGGGAGAAGATGTGTTTTAAATTCCTTGTGCAAAAAGATGTAGATGAGAAGTAGCGATGCTCCTGGGCCTTTTCTGTCTGCAGTGGCTTAGTGGCACGGAACAAGATACATCCTCTGGCTCTCCAGTAGCAAAGGCCCATGCTACCTCACATTGCTACCTTGCATCCCCACTGTGGCAGGTACAGACCTTCCCCAGCTCTCCCATCCGGAGAACTGTGGTAGGAGAAGCAAGGTAGAGAAGGAGGCACTAAGTCAGGATGAGAAGGAGAGTGAGACACCCTCAACAATTAGCTTGAAATCTCACTAGCTACGCCTGTCTTTTCCCTCTCAAAACATGACCCACAAAAACCAGCTGTGTCCACATGCCTGAAGGGTCCAAACTTGCTGTTCAGTTTGCCACCGCCACTGATCTTTCCACAAAGACTCAGAAACAGTGGCTTGCAGTTTAGCATGCCACACTGCAGGTTTTTTGCACTGTGTGATTTATATGCTATTTAAAATACAAGTCTTAATTATGGATTTTTTTTCCCCAGGTATTTTATATTGATCATTCACCTTCAGCTGAGCACAGGTTTATGCAACTCCCATCTTGTTCTGTGTTAATGGGACTGCGCTGGACTTTCAGAGGTCCACCCGTTAGACCATGCCTTATTCTAAGGAATCAAAACCACAGCTGGCCACCACCACACTTCTTGGGTTAGCTATACAATCCAGCACTCTTCACATGCCTTTACATTGTCTTTACTTCCCTTGTGTTAGAAGGGGAGAGTGACCTGACTCTTTTTGAGCGGTTTGAACTTTTGATTCCCAGTCCCGAAATGGCTGATGGTGCCCGAAGGGATCAATCAGCCAGCGGGAAGGATCATTAGATAAATATTTCTGAGAAAACAATCCTTAAAGGCCTTATTAGTGATGTTGGCATTTAACGACCTCACTCACTTAAGTTTGTACTCAGTCATGCTTTAGCAGTCTCCTTCATAACTACATTGAATGCAGTCAGAGTCTTCAACCACATCTCAAGCCTTCATGAAAAATAGAGTGCTTATAATCAAGACCAGAAGTTCAGTGTGTTTGATTTTC